ATGATTTCTCTTTAATGACTCAGGATCATTATTATCAACATCCAGCATTATGTGGAAACATGAAACAAGGGATAACAGATAACATTCTTACAGATGAGGAAACTAGGGCAGGTGATTTTCCATGGCCATTGTATCTTTTTATCCAAGATTATTCAGTGTGCTGTAGAGAAAAGAACATCTGATCATCTTGATTTTGAATTCTCATTCTTTTGTTCCTTCCCCATCTCGAGATGCCTAGTCTCACATCTTAGTTTATTTGGTCAGGATTAAATTAAGGGACATATAAAACTATTGCTTAGTGCCTAGCAAAATAAATATCCTGATAATTGCTTTTCACATGGATCAGAGCTTTCTCACCAGACCCAATCATCTGAGGAACACCCTATTTTTATGAAGGGTTTGTAGTCATTTGGTACCTTCAAATAAGGCACAAAGTATTTAGTGTCTGGTTAAGTGCTTAAAGGTTCTGCTCTTATAAAATTGTACAGTATGTTTTGATGTATGGACCCAAGCACTTCTATTTTGGTGCTTAGGAACCATTTTAAAATTAGGTTCTTTGATGATTTGGACTGGTGGATAAGTGACCTCTGATTAAGAAAAGGGTTGTTGTATTAGGAGAAAAAAGCATGCGGGGAAAATGAAGGAGAGACTACGAGAGTAAATATGGTATTTTCTTCTCTGTGGGGAAAATATGTAACTGCATTAGAGTTGAAACGTTTATCTATGGAAAAGTCTTATTCTGCTCTGAAAAGTTTATCCTCCTCATTCTCCCATGGATAGTCAGGATAAATGGTAATCAGCACAATAAATCATGTGCTGTCTCTGAAAATATATGTTGTTTTGAAGATTTCATACTATTAAGCCACTTGAAAATGGGAAGGTGAACCCTTCTCAATCATACTTAAAATTGTGGCAAAGGAGATTTTCATCTCTGTTTCAGAAAAAAAAAAAAAGGATGAAATGTTCAAATAACACAGCAACAGGATTACAAGGGTCAACATGAGAAAGTCAAGTATATATTGGACAATTGTGTATGGTTATAGCAAAGATAATAGGCTTGTGGAAATTAATTTTTGAATTTGGGCAGCAAAAGCTTGTAGAAAGAAGTGATAACCCTACATTCTACAGTAGGACAAGTGAATATCTTGTAAATCTTAGGTTTATTGCAAAAGCCATGCCCAGTCTGTACACAGTAGCTCTCAAAATAAGTGGAACAGACCATTACTGGTTTGCCAGAATTTCCCCTTAAGATGGAATTTTAAAAGAAGAGTGAAAAATATATGCAAGTGCTTGTGATGGCCAATCATAAGTTGATAATTTTATTTTGTTCCAAGTATATTATCAAACTGATTATTTTAG